TTACTTTTGCTTTGATCATTGGGAAAATAGGCTTACTTTAGATTTCTAATCTTCTCTTTCATTGTTTACTTCTCTTTTCAAACTTATATGGGTAGCCTAAGTATGGAACATTAAATTTTCTTTAAATTACTGATTTTTAAAACAAAGAGAAAGAGTAGATGACTTGTGTTAAAAACTCCTCTAGCACAGAGAAATGAGAATGAAGCTCTCCTTACCCAGTATAAATCAAAATTTTGGCTTCACTAAAGATAGTGGAAATCATTAACTTTCAACAAACTGATTTTTCCTAACTAAAAGTTTCACTGAACTCAGAAAAAAACAGGATCTAGCAGAAGGATATGACTAAAGTATGAATCAGACACTGAAGTTTTACAAGTAAAATCTCAGATGAAAAGTGTTTTCATTTAGTGATGCAGTTGATCCAACTGAATGGTTCATTTAACTTGATACATTAATCTAGCATCTTTGAAAAAGAAAAGCACCTATTTTTTTCACAATAGCTGTTGACCTTTTTCACACAAGTATTTTTACATCCAACTAAACTAAATACCAAGTAATTGCTTTCCTGTAAAGCCAACATTTTTTAAGTAGCTTACTCTGTTTATTATGTACCTTTCTGCAGGACTGACTGAAGAATGGAATACTTAAAAGATCTAAATAACTCAATGTTACAGATGCATGTAACAGCACAAGACTGCCCTCATAGGCCCGGTAAGTCCTTGTCTGCTTACATTTATGAAAGAAGCCTATAAGTCCTTCCAGAGGTCTGAATATGATTGGTACTCACAGTTGTAGCATCCTTCTCCTTGGGATAAAGACTTGAAACACAGTTTTCCTTTATCTGAGAATGAAGGGGTGAAATGATGCTGCACAGAGTTGATCAGGCCTGTTACTTTGGTTGAGAAATCTAAGCAGTCTTATTCTTTCCATTTTTTCATCATGGGCTTCTTAATTTATGTTTCTTCTCCCAGCTAGGATCCATTGCTTGAAGGGGATAGCAGCTTCCCTTTTTTTCCCATAGTGACCTTGTTTGGAGATTGTGGATCAGCACAATTCTTTTTCCTGGGAAAGAAAATGGATGGAAGCAGCAACTCCTGCTTCTTCTGGCAGCTGATGTTCTTACCTTGCTGTTCTTACCTTACCTCTGCCACACCACCGGGAGGTGTTTGCCAGGCTGTGCACTGTTTTAATAGGTATGTGAAGGAGGCAAGGACATAGATTTATGTTGTGTGGAGATACATACTAATATAAATACAGCACAGAAGAAAAATTAGAAGTGCTGGACATGGTTTGACAATGGTGTTAACTGGGAGAAGAAAAATGGTGGATGAAAACTGAGGTATGGCTATCACAGGAGCAGTCATGCCAACTCATGGAGGTAGACAGCCCAGACAACACTGATGCACAGTCATTAAAATGCAGACCCAGTACACCCTAATGAGCCCACCCTCCTGTCCATTCCAGTGCACCCTCATAGATTTTCTGGTGTTACATAAAGTGAGGGTGATTAGGATCTGCTGAGATCTCATGTTTTTGTTTTGCTGTTTGCAGACAAGGTACGATTAAGATGGCTCTAAAGTGACAGATGGGAAAAGAAGTGGTGGATTCAAGGGTAACACAAAGGCAGAGAACTGGTCGGACTCCAGCATTTTCAGTGAATTTTGAGGTGAGATGGGAACAGAACTAAACTGGAACTAAACTCACTGTGGACAGAAATGAAAGGCAGCAAGTGATAAAGATGTAAAGTGATCATCAAAGAGTAGAGAGATGATCCTAAGGTAATGATGAGGAGCAGTGGAGTTGTGAATGTAAGACTTCACATCAAATGCTGAGCCACAAATGAGGAGATATTTTCAGATCAGATATAGACTTCTATGTTCAAAAGAGTTTTGAATGGTGCAGCTTTTATCCTTTGTATAAGCCTGTATACTTCAGCTGTGCTCTCTCAGCTAAAATATCTTTGTGGTATCAGGGAGATTAACACATAAAGTAGAAGACACACCAAAAAAGCCAAATTTTGTTTGCAGGACAGTGTTCTGTGAAGTATTAATTATGTCTTTTAGAGCTGGACATGAACAGAATGCTTTTATTTGGTGGTTAAAGAATTTATCTGTCCTAAAAATATTTGCAAATTTGGGAATAGGTATGAGCAAAAGTCCTTTATATTCTTCTTCTAATTATACTACCTTTCTGTGTTTCTTTTCTTTGTCTGATTTTTTTTGAGGGGTGTGGGAGGGTGTGGGGGCTAACAATTTCTCTTTAACAAGAAATCTTCCTACTTTCTCTTATTCCCTCTCACTGGCTACATTGTTGATAAGTTCAAGAGAATATCTCCAGCATAAAACTTGAGAAAAATTGAAGGATGAGGTGCAAACATTTATCAGAGTATTTTTTTCCAAGCTGTTTTTAGAATTTTGAAGATAGAAAAAGTTTAAATGAGGATGATTTACAATATGAACTTCCTGAGTTTTTTAAATGATGCTGCAGAGAGTCCTTGACAAATTGCAAAGACCATAGTTCCCAGAGGAGAGAAAAAAGGTTGGATGTGGCTGTTCAACTATCATGCAAAAAGAAAAGTATATGCATAATACTGTATCCATGGAGAGGAAAAAAAAAAAAAACAGACTACAAAACTATAAACAATATTTCAATGCACTATGATAACAAAACCTCATTTTTAAAAAGTATGTAAGAAATAACCATACTGTCAACATAGCTGTAGATCACACTCATTGCACCAGTCAAACCAAAATTATCTAGAAAATATAATTCTTAGTTTTAGTTTAAGGCAAACATGAGGTAAAATGCATGAAGATAGGACTAGCAGCTCAGCTAATCCACAGTAATTTACTGGGTTATACAATATTAACACATACAGCTGCATAAATTTAACCCAAACTTCCTTTCCATAAAATTTAAAACTTGTTTGAACTTCCTTCTGGTTTTAAACAAGTGGATTTATAATAATGAAAAATACTGATAGGAAAGGAAAACTGTTTACTCCCAGCAACAACCCCTTTTATTTTAATATTTTGATTTCATAGATCACATTAAGATATCCTACTATTGTGTGATAAGAAGCAAGTACTATCTTTACTGTTTGCCATATAGTGGACTAGGCTATTCTTCACACTGACTATACCAAGAATTCAATTACTGTAAATTAAATATTTTAATTATAGCATTTTATCTGTGTTTGAATTCATTCTTGTTTATATTTTAATAGATATAATTTGACCCTGTTACCCCAGTATACATGTATTTTGCACTTACAATATTTTTTGTTTTAGGATATACCTAGCTATTAGGCACTATGTTTCTAAAGGAGTTTCCAGGATCAAGAATTAACATTCTCACTTTGCTTGACTTGTTCCATTTACACAGCATTTTATGTTTCTCCCTCCTTTTTCTGTGGCACAATTAGATATCTTTAAAAGAAAGCAAGGGTGTGCATGCTATATAATTATTAATATCCATGTCTTCTCCAGTCCAGTTCAGTTCTTTCAGTTAACACTTCACCGGAAAAATCTTAAAATTAATTTTATTGTGTACTTGTCTAGGAGGGACTAGACAAACTCTGTGTTACAGTGAGACTTAGGCACTTAGATATAATAATACAGCAACTTTAAAAAACAAGTTCAGCATTTTTATGTGTGAACAATATAATTCACTCAAAACTAAATTAATATTTAGATTTTTCCTCATTCTATACACTATCTCCAATACTAAATATCTATAAATGTACATACAAGTGTCTGCATGTATTTGGATTTCTTTTAGCAAGCCTTTAATTCTACTTTTATTTTATAAGGGATGCATGGGTGCATCCATTTTAATCATGGATGTGGCAAATATCTTAACGTATACTTAAAAAAGGGATGATGAGCTAGGACTTGGAAAGGTTAAGGAAAAAAACAGTGATAAATCGTATGAACTTGTGAAGAGATACCACTCTGGAAATGAACTATTAGTGCATGCTGCAAACCCGTGTAACTGAGGGATGACTCAATGACTCTCAAAGGCTGCAGAAGACCGAGGACTGTTTTTCAGCTAATATGTGAAAACAAACAAATCATTCAAGGTAAAAAAAATAGTTGTAAAATACCTTGTAAATATAAAAGTAGTCAAATACCTGAAACCCTTCTTCTCATGTCCCTATCATGTCACAGTTTTAGAAATCAGATTTTCTGTATTTTAATTATGCAAATTATGTATTATATAATATGTTTAAATAGCTCATATAGATCATCTTTTTTTTATGTCAGTCTTTTAGGTTTTCTTTTTTCCCCATGTACTTATAGTTTAGGAACATAGATGGAATTCTTTACAATTTTTCTAGTAAATCTAGCAATATTTTTATGCAGAAAAACCTAACAACCATGAGTGACACAAGATAATTCAGAAGGAGCTGAGCTTTGTTTTGGAAGAGAACTTGAAAGACGGACTTTAAATAGATAATGAAACGATGATTTTACGCATGGCTATTGAGTTCTTAGATGAGGAGGCTCTCAACTTTACGTCCTAGTGGCTCTTCCACCTATAGTAATTCTATAAAAATGTAACCTCTCAATTTTGATTTTGGTGTTGGTTATTAATACTTACAGCTTGAATTACAAACATAATTTCATCTTGCATAAGGAAACGGCTTATGACTGTATTTCTAAATTTGGAACCCAACCATAAGATTTGTGTAACTGATAAAAATCTGCTACTCTACTGTACTGAAGCAAACTTCCTAATAATTGCCATGGAAATAAATTAGTTAAGAGTACAGAATGGAATACATAGATTATCACAAACCTTTTAACTGAAATTAGGTGATCAACCTATTATGAATTCATTTAAATCTTTAAAAATTAATGTATTCTGTTCAGTAATTGAGGTATGAGAGACAGTTGCTTCTCTGCTCTGTGTTTCAACTTCCTAGAAACTACATTTTGAGCTTAATCTCCTGAGGATTGGTAAATTAGGTAAAAGAAAACATTGCATTAAACTCAAGGTACGAAATTATTATACATTATTTTATGTATTTTATATAAAAGTTACAAGTAGCAAGCATATGACACAGAAATGGAACAGTAACAGCAATAACTGTGAATGCATGCTTTTTACAATGTATCTAATAAAGGGATTTTTGCCAACTCAAATATTCAGTAACATACATGCAGATTAATTTCTCAATGTCAAATTCAGTCATATTGCTAGATGCTCATCCAACAAACGTTTCTATTGAAGTGATTATGAATGGCTAAATACCTGATTTCAATAAATTGTTCCTGAAATTGGGAATTTTACTTGCAACAAAAAGAAGAGAGAAAAACAAAAAGATAAATGACTGATAAGCATAATAACCAAAGTCTTATTGCCTTCTAGTAATTTTACTCAACACTGCTGAATTTTTTCAGAATAGCTGGTCAGAGTCCATAAAACCTCTAGCTGGTGTTTCCAAGGACGATAGTTTCACATTTCACTGTAGCATGTTCAAAATCACCCAGGAGCGCACTATTCTCAAGCAGTCTACATAATGAAAACAACGTACATATAACAAAAGTTCAATGTAAATCTTCTTCCACATATCACACAACATAGAAGTAAATAACAGACAGAGATCAACTTAAAGAAAACTATGACTTTAAATAAATAAATAAATAAATAAATAAATAAACAAAAGGACAATCTCAGGAACTAATTTCTTCCTCAAGTTTCCAGCATATCTGCAAATATATTCAATAACTAAGGAGCACTTTGTGGCCAGAAACCAAATTATAAAAAGAAATATATTTTTGTGCAATGGGAATGTCTTGCTATGGAGGTCAGATATGTCTATACTTCTTAGGTTTGCATGAAGGCAATTAAATTAAATTGGAAAATTTTCCACTCTTTCAGAGAGCTGAGATTGTTCATTATAGATTTTTCCATTCAGAGTTTGCATGACTGCATGAATAGTTTTCTGAAATCAAAACTAAGTTAAAATATGCTCTCTCTGAAGAAGAAAAAATGCAGAAAAATATTTACCTAAACTATCTACAGGCAATAAAACCATTAATGGATTATTTCACTATAAAATTTCTTTATACATATATACACATAAAAATCTATATACACATATCTATGTTTATATATACACATATATAAACTGCCAGACTAGCAGTTATCCATAGCTCCATTATAAACATCTGAAATTATGTTTATTAAGTGCTGATAAAAATTATGCAAAATGAAAAGTCTAAGAAAATACTCCAGAAAGTAAGTTTAATTTGAAACATTAACTGTAGTGCTACAGAACCTCTAAATTTATCAGTACTAACACACACTCTTCCCCCAACACTTCACAAGATTGGATGAAAAAAAATTAACTGAAAACACATAGTTCCACATCTTACTGACCCAAATTAAATGGACAGGTTTTACATTATATTTTACATGCTGGGGCTCTAACTTTTATTTCCATAAATAATAATTAAGAAATAAATAAATGAAATGCAAAAGCCATGCAAAGCACATGACTCTATTATGCAGCTGGAATTAAGACAGTTCTTGCTAGGGGCTGACTGCAATTCTGTCAAGAATAAGGAATTAGCAGATTTTGTTTCATTTACAATGCTAAAGTGGTCATCTGGCTTTCAGTATTTTTAAAATTCAAACCTGTTTCCATACAAGATGACATACAATTTGAGACCTAATATGCATTTTAGCAATGTAACAAATAAAATGGAAAGCAACAGATGGTTCAATTGCTGTATAGATATGTTTACTTACCTCAGGTTTTTCTCTTAGACCCTAGTTGTGTTGTACTCAGACTCATGTTTGCTTAGAGACCCAATGAGGCAGAACCTGGAATGTTATGGCTATTTCATTCAAAATAATAGTGTTTGCATAGAAGAAAAGAAATATATGCATATAGATACTTTATAAACAGTACACTTTGATAATCTGATAGATATGCAGGAAGTAATTTACATAGACATGCAATTGGATTAAAATAACCAAAAATCTGTCTTTTTTTTTAAAAGAAATGCCTTAATGTGCAAAGAAAATATGGAGGGCATGTAAACTAAAACAAGAAATGCATAGATAATGCATGCAAGAGAAAACACAAATATATTAAAAAAGAGTTATGCATTCTTTTTCAAATAAATTGTTCATAAATTTTTTGGTTTTCTTTTTCTTTTACTTGTAAACTTTTAATCATTCATATTTACAGTGATTCAAATTTCAATATACAGAAGAAATAGCTCTTTCATTAAAAATATTATGCTTGATTTTTCTTTTTTATTGATTAGAAATATTCCCTTTAATTCATTTTTATATGTAAATATATATGTGTTCGTTACGTTGTCTCATGTTCTAATCTGTCTATCCATGTTTATTTGACAAACCAAAATACTGTGATCAATAATGGAACAGATACAGTAAAGTTTTGGAAATACTGTCATTCATGATAGAAAAGATAATGTGCCATGAGGAAAGGGGTTTCCTTGCCCCAGGACTGTGTTCCTCATTCTTGCGTCATGCGTCAAAATGGATACAAGTATCTTTTATTTATAGATGAATTTATTTAGAGATGGTTAGACCAACAGTGGGTGATATTCAAGGCCACCTCAAGGAAATATAATGTGGCTGTTCCAAAAATATAAATTCACAACAAGGAAATATAATGTGGCTGTTCCAAAAATATAAATTCACACAATCTTCTTTGGTTTTTAAAAATTGTACCTGCTCTCTGTTGACCTGTGTGTGTATGCTTAGGGTTATATGTAAAACAGTAAAAGAAAAAGAAAGAAAGAAACTTGAAAGGTAAAACAGAGATACAGGATTCCTCAGGAAAGAGGAGCAGAGATGAGAAAGAGAGACAGAAAGAGATAATATAATGGCATGTGCTATCAGGGAACAGAAATTTAAACAATAAATAAAGAAGAAAGAAAATATGTCTTTAATGATCAAAGAGTGAGTATGTTTGGGCAAACAAGTCCTTACACAATAGTTAGTCTTCATCAAAAATCTATTGATACTGACCGCTGAACAGCTTTATCATGTCTGGACAGCCTGTGACTTGTGGTTGGCACCTCTTCAATTTCGTCTATCTCGCACGCATCAGCAGCATCTTGTGAGTAGCTATGCTTCATGACAAGGATGTTTCTCCTGTTCATGGGCTGAACAAGTGGTTTTACAGGCTGGGGTTGTATTTCTGTCAAGACAGAAGCATCTCTTGTGCTGAGGTTACTACGGCTGCCCTTAATACTAGACACTTGTGATCCACAGTGATGGTCATGAATGCATTTTGAAGAGGATCTCCGCAGTTTATGATAATTTTCAAAGTCATCTGCAACGTCAGCAAGGTCAGCTGTAGTCCCTGTCCCTCTAAGGGTGCATAACTCATAATGAGGAGGCTCAAACACCTCCTGGAAAACTGTTTGATCAAAGTCTGCTTTCCTTTGGACAAATTTTTTACGAGGCTGCTTGATCTGTACTATAATAGAGATAACAATGAGGATGATCACAATGCAAGAAGTCACCCCAATTATAGTCCCACTGGTATTGGTAAGTTGGTCCAATAGGTTTGCTTTTCTTTTTTCTGTGCGACAGGGAATAAAAAAAAAAAAAAAGCACGGCATTAATTGCAGTTCAAGAATAAAAACAACTCTGATGGTTTCACAGATTACTGCAAGGCTGAGCCTAGTCTAGTTCTGAGCTCACTTAATCAATCTCACCAACAAAAAAGAAAAGGGGAAGAAATCAGATATTTGTGAAAGCCAAATAAGCAATACACAAGTCCTTTATGTGCCTATTCTCTTGGAAACTTATTTATTCAGGATATCTTGCAAGTTTAATTAAACAAAATAATTATTTCAATTTTTTTTATAAAAAACAGCCACCATAACAAGCAGATGGCTTCAGTGTCACCTCTGAACTCCATTTGGCTGCTAATGCCCCCAAGACTTTTACAGATGTTCTCTTCATTATTTTCTCTCTCTCCCAGTAAATATATGCAGCTAGGACATTAGGTCCTATGAAAGAACAAGATTTTACAGGATTTAAGTCTAATATTTGTGAGCTGAGTGGGAATTTTGGCAGCAATCAATGAAAAAGCTAAATCAGGAGAAAATAGAAAAGTTATTCAAATTTAGATTTCAGACAGGAAAAAAAAAACAAATTTGTGCAAGTTATTTCTGTTCCCCCCCTCCCCCATTAATTACCAAAACCTTTCTAAATAGGCATAAAAATCCAAAAGATCATAGGTAGTAGATCATATCTACTACCTTTTGCTCAGGAGCCTCTAATAAGTTAGTCAGCAAATTCTGCATTGTGAATAAGGCAGAAAAATGCAGTAAAATAATAAAATAAAACCAGTTTCCCCCTCCTCTTGTGCATCTTCCTCTGTGATTGGCTTTCACAAGGCTGCAGGTACAAGATGGTGACTGAGCCTTGTAGAAATTCAAGTTGAAAGTTTGCATCAGTCTCTCTCAGGCATGGCAAGACGACTGTGATTAAGTTTCAACACCCAGTTTAGTGTAATTTTTCCTGGCAACCCAGGACATATAAAAGGAATTAAGAAAAAGCCTTTGAAATGGAAATTATTGGCACCAAAACAGTAGCATTCATCTCTTCAAAATCTCCTAGTTACCAAAACTCAACTCTTCAGTAGATCATTGTCTAAGCTTGCAGATTCACTCAGTGTTTCTCTAATTGACTGACACAGACTCTGGAGAAAAAGCAGAGTTAGGAAAAGCAACACTGCAGCAAACAACATTTTTGCTGGAATCAGCAAACCTCCTTTTTGTAGTCAGAAAAACAAGAGAGGATAAATGCACAAGACCTGATAAAAGATACTTGACGAAGGAAAGATAAAAATCATTCTGGAAATTGAAGAGTGATGAAGGTTTTCTGTTTTCCTCTATTGTGAAGAGAATGAATAATAATTTCCCAATTGTCTGTTTAGGTTCTTTGAAGAATATTATGCTATGCCACAGTTTAGCTGTGTTCTTTTGAAGTGTGTGTTTTCATTTGTGTTTTACCCTATTTCACTACTTGTCAGGATTCTACAGGCTTCAGTAGATTTATGGGCTGACTGCTAATCCACTTCATTCTGAATTTTTTTCTTGATTGGTTCCTAAATTTGGCATATCCCATGCTTTCAGGAACAAATCTGCAGTAGGGGGGAGACAGGGGGATACAAGACAGAAGTGAACTGTCTCCCTAGCCTGCAATATAAGTTTGCTAAGCTCTTTTCCCTGAAGACAACACAGATGCTGTTTTGGGGCTTGTTTGTGTGGTTTTTGTAACAGAACTACAGAAATATTTAGAAACCATTGTCAGTACATGGATAGGAACATCACTCCCTGCCTATGAAATAAAAATTACATCTGATTCCCAGATGTAGTATTTACAGGCTTGTTCCTTACACTTCAATGTCACTAGATTATAGGTAGATTTGGTTGCTTTCTTACAGTGTTAATTTCACCTTCCTTTATAAGACTACTATTATGGGCATAGCATGCAGCTAAAAGACACCTGCTAGTCATATATTACTCCACTACAAAGGCAACTATGGCACAGGAACCAAAATATTACATTTAATTATACTTTAGATTGTATGGAAAGCAGAGACCAAATGATCAGAAAGCCTCCCAGAAGTCCATGAACTGACAGCAGGACACAACCAATACAACATCAGAGAAAAAAAAATGAAAACACTGAAAGTAAAATCCACTGGCATTTTTTTACCTTCCTTCATTTCCTCTATTGCTGAATATATGCTCTCTCCAAATTACTCTTCTGAGCTTTCATCCATTTGGCACATACTTAACAAGAAACTGAAGATTATATGCTGTATCTCATGCAGTGCAAATGACAACTTTTTCAATTCTACATGTTACCTTTGCAGTGGTTTTCATCCCAGGGGTACACACAATTCTGGAGTCCATTGCAGACCAGTGTATTATTTATACACATATTACTGTGGCAAAAGAATGTGTTGGCTTCACAAGGGGCTAAAAATGAAAGAAATTATAAATGATATTAAATTAGTAAACCATTCAGCTTTCCTCTACAAGCATATCTAGGAGTGGACACGTATTCTAAAATAGGACAAAGCTATACAACATGTATTCCTTGTGTATATTAAATATTTGATGTGCAACATGGAGGGCAGTCAAGCCATAAACTCTTTATTATTCTGTGGCAGGAGGTTCTCAGTTTTGCCTAAAATGACTGAACATTCCCCTAGTATGACTCTCCTGCATGTAGCAGGTTGGATTCTAAATATTGTTGGGAAGTCACCGATGTGTTATCAATAGTTTTTAACCACAGATCCAAAACATATCACCCTATGGGCTGCTATGAAAAGAGTTAACTGTATCCCAGACTGATCCAATGAGTGACATCTTCTAAAGTTTTTGCCAAAACCTCAATTTTATAAGAAAACTTTTGTGACTCAAAGAAGAGATGTACTTGACGGCACATATCAATGGTGTCTGACCATTTATACACAGAGAAAGTAAAATTATTTTTAAAACCTTTTAGTCATAAAAAAGGCTACAGTTAAGGAGCACCTTTTTGATCACAAGTATGAAGATAAGGAAGCACAACAGTCTTCAATGTCCCTGAAGCCTATGGCCTAGAAGAATCATGCAGATTAAAGATGCAGGAAAATGGTGTTACTGATAGCCATGTATTATTACTGTGAAGAAACTGCCTGAAAGCCTTTGGAAGGTACTGAAGATGCTGCTAAACTGTCATGTTTATGGAAGTATTGGGATATCATTAGGTGTTGGGGTTGTGCAGCTATTGCTCCAAAAGTGCATAATACAGTAGAGATAAATTACTCCTCATATCTCTTCTTTAAACAAGAAAGACTTCTGTAACTTAAAAGAGCTACAAACTTTGTCAGTGTTAAATTATCAAAAATGAACTCCTTATTTTTTTTTTTATTTCAAGCAACCCAAAAGTGTTATTATAATTATTTTTAAGGGAGAGATAAATAATAAACTAAGATCCTAGCTAATCAGAAAGCAGTTATGATGCTCCTATTACTGATATTACTGATACTTTGAGTTTGATACTTCATGGAAATTGCTCTCCTCTGCAACTTTAGAAGCAGTTCCTATGACAACATGAATGAATAGCAGAGAGAATGGTTTAATGGCTTGCAAACGAAGGACAAAACAAAGGATTTGTATGACTCAATAGATCATGTCAATAAATGTACTTACCAATAAGTGTTTAAGTTAAGATATCCATAACTGGCATATTTGGAGCAGTTGTGGTGTGTTAAGCAAAGAATAAATGCCATCAAAATCAAAAAGCACACCCCAAATATGCAACCACTCACTCAGATAAAACACTATATATATACTGTATCTCTTAGCCAGAAAACATCAAGCAGCCTGTCCACTGTTCAATTTTTGTTTTCAAATCTGGTATACCATCTCTTGAAGTGCAGGGAGCCTGATCAAGTTTTAAGTTTGTTACAGAAAGGATTCTACTTTATGCTAGGCAGAAGAGCAATGTGAATATTAGAAAGGGAGGATATTTAGGGACAGTCCTTATCTATCTGTTGCTGTCATATGGGGACAATGAAGGCTGAGCCCGGAGGATGCTGTGCCACATCCTGATGTGACACATCACGTAGATAACACATCAAAGGCATAATCGTCCTTTCACACTCTAGCTGCAGTCCCTGTTTCCAGGCAAGGTGAGGATCTTTTAGGATGTTTCCCACATGCAGAAACAGTCTCACTGCCTACTCTGAGTAAAAAGAAGTGAGAAACCTAAGAAGATCTAAAGAGGCATCCATTCAAAATACAAAGTGTACCAAAAAAAAAGACCCAAATATCAAACAGAAACTTCAAGGAGTGACACAGGAAAAATGGGGAAATATTAAAAACAAAAACAAACAAATAAACATTTGCAGGAAAAAAACCAACCAACCAAGCAAACAAACAAAAAAAACCCTGACCAAAATGCCAAAAAACCTTCAGAGTGGAATGAAGAATCTTAAAAGTGAAGTCAGAAGGACCTAGTGCTGTCTGAATTCAGAAGTATAGTGGTGATAAGTGGAAAAGAAGAACAAAAGGAAGGTAGCAAGGAAGTGAAAATAAGACAAAGAAAGAGAGGCATCTACCGGAAAAAACAATGTCAATTGGTTATTTTATTCTGCACTAAAAGAAATAGCGAGATTTTCTATCAAATGAAAAAATATTAGAAAATGTTTCAGAGATGAGAGAAAAATAAAGAACAATAAAAAAGACCTTTTTTCAGATTTAAAAATTAATAATTCTGCAAAAAGGTGACAGGGACATCTGGAAACAAAAAGCAATAGAAAGGAGGAAAAAAGAATGAAAATTTAAGTTTTCTTAAATTGTGCTATTGAATGGTGGAGGGAAAAAAATGGTATGTGAATAAAGGTCAAAACAAGATGAATAGAGAAGCAAAGCAATTTCAGAACCAGTACAGCAAACTTAGCATGAGAAAAACCCAAATGTAAGATTCAGAAAACTAATGACAAACAGCCCCCCCTTGTTCATGTTTGTAAAATTAAAATAGCCAGGTTCTCTCTCTGTGGTCCCATGAACGCAGAGTGATTAAACTGGGCAAGAAGTCAATATGTTTTCCCTACTCTAATTAAGGTATTTTGTCAAAATGAATAAAAGTATAAAGGGTAACTGAAAACTTGTCAGTCCTGTTACACATTGGAAAAATTTGCTTTCTTGCCCAAAAAAAAAGGCTCAGCAAAAGAGTCTTGGGATGCTACATCAAGGACATTCTAGTAATACAAAAAAGATAAATGAATTGATGGTAAACCAGATTCTTTCACAGCAAGATGGATCTGGTCCTTATGCAGTCTTAAAGCTATTACAGAACCCAGCATGATAGTGGAATCAAGAAGTATGTGACATCAAGCTTGGAGATGTTTTCACAAAAGGAAATTACTACTATCATTAACTTCATCTAGATAAAGCAGCACAAACCTCTCCACACACCAGAAGCTGTCCTCTATCATTCCATGGTCTTCCCCATCACTATATAAATGCTCCTCTTTATAAGAGAGGAGAGCAGGAATGCAGAGAGCTCACCCAGGTGAGGAAATGAGTAACTTTTTGGTCATGATTAGTGGAAAGCTACCCATATTGTACTTTGTGTCTGGACTACTTGATGAGCAACAAGCAGTCAATGAAATCTTCTTCAGGCAGATGGAAGAAGCCTCACAATCACAGGGATCCTAATGGGGATTTGAACCATGTGATATCTGTGGAGGGCAACACAGCAGGGTACAAACAAGCCAGGAAGTTTCCAGAGTGAATTGATAACTTCCTGACACAGCTAATCACAGAGTTGATGAGGATAGCTCTGCTGTTCCTCATACTTTTATAAGCAAGAATCAGTTGGGAAGGTGAATGTCAGGAGCACGAGATGATGGAGTTTGGGATGCTTCAAAGAAGGAACAAACCAAAAAGCACAACCGTAATTCTGGGCCTCAGAAGAGCAAAAGTTCACTGTTGAGGGGAATGGGGGGGACAAAGGCCATGGGAGGTGGTCCTGGAAAGATACAAGTTCAAGGAGAGTTGGTTGAGTCTGTAAGATCTCCTCCAAGTTCAGCAGTTGAATATCTGGAGTGCCCGAAAATCAGGTGAAGGTAGCAGTTATGGATGGACAATGACTTCCTGACAAACCTCAAACATATAAAGGGTACATATAAGTGGTGGCAGTAGGATATCATGGTCCCAGCATAAATATGACTTCTCTGAGTGGAAGGAGCTGAGGTTAGGGAAGGTTCAGTCAACTGGACAGACATGAACTCCCGGGTTCTATTGTGATGCCCCCAGTAGGTGACTCACATCATTGAGAAGCCACTCTTGACTACCTCTGAAAAGTCCCACTGATTGAGGCCTCAGTGGGCTGGGCAAACAGGATCTTCAAGCAGATCAACAAAAGGAAAGGTAAAGTCCTGTGCCTTGAGAGGAAAATTTCATGCACTGGTACGTGCTGGGGACTGACTGACTAGAAAGCAAGCTTGCAGAAAAGGTTCTGGTATGCAATAAGGTCACCTTGAAAATCACCTTGAGCCAGCAATGTGCCCTTGTGGCCAAGAAGGCCACCACTCTCCTGGGCTGCATTAAGAACTGAATTGTCAGCAGGCTGAGAGGTTTGATGCTTCCCTTCTATTTAGCACTGTACAGACCACATCTGCAGTGTTGTGTCAGGTTCTGGACTCCTCTGCACACAAGGGACACAGATGTCTGCAGTGAGCCCAGCAAGAGGCCATGAAGGCCTTTAAAGGCTTGAGATATTGGAGGTGAGAGGAGAGGCTGAGAAAGCTGGGACTGTTTTGAGTAGGCTCTTGTCAATGCATCCAAACACCCACTGGGAGGGAGTGAAGAACACAGAGCCAGGCTCTTCTCATCAATGCCCAGTGACAAAACAAGAAGCAATGAGCATTAAAAGAAATATAGAAAATTCCCTTTAAACGCAGGAAATAATTTTTACTTTGAGGCTGGTCAAACACTGCGCAAGAGCTGGTTTGCCAAGTGAGGTTGTGGTGATTCCATCACTAAAGATATTCAAAACCCAACTGGGCACAGCCCTGAACCACCTGCTGTAGCTGACCCTGCTTAGAGCAAAAGGATTGGACTAGACCATATCCTGGAGTCCCTTCCATTCCTTCCGTGGCTCTCTAAAAAAGCCCTGACTTCATATTTAGATTAAAAGTAACAGCTGGGATACACAATTGTGTTATTTCTCCTGTGTCTCAAAGCTGCCTTAAGTCAAGCTCTACCAAGGTTCTGGACTAGAAGTGAGATAGCATATTCAGCACGATGAACAATTTGCAATAATTATAACACAACTGAGAAAATTAGAACTACACATATAATTATACTTGATATATTTTGATAAAGTCTCTAATAAATTCTTTGATTTTTACAGCACGAAAATACTATATTTTAAATAAATCAGTAATTAAAGAAAAATTTTAGGAAAGGTTCTTTTTCTA